CCAAGAAAAGGGGGAAGAACATCTTCACCTCTGTCAGAGCTGGGTCTCAGCTCCTTTTTGAATTCCATGGGAGAGGGCTGCCTGAAAATGCTGTGAGTCACTTCCATTTGCTTGAAAGGAAGCTAGGGGTAGTGTGTGGCTTATGACTTCTCTTGGACTCACTCCATCTTAGAGAGAGAGAAAAGGAAAGGGCAGGAAAACCCAACATAGATGAGAATATACTATGTGCCTGCCACTTTATCTTATTTTTTTTTCTCCTAATTACCACAGTGAATTAACTCCATATTACAGAAGAGTAAAGTGAGTTTTAAACGTTCCTTCAACTGGCAATTCCTGGAATTAGGCCCCCAAAACTATGTAGGTTTTGTGGTTCACTGTTTTTTGTTCTTTGTTTATTACTTCAGCACCATGAGGGAAATTGGGAACTTTGATTTAGTATACAAGTCTTGATTAGTGTATTTTATTTTCTGGGAGCCAAAGAAGAACCCAACAGAGCCTTTCAGGGAACCTCGGGTTTTGGTGATATTGTTTTTAATCTTTCCGGGGTCAGGATTTACTTCTTTGCAGATCTAAAAAAAGAAAGTGAGCTTTCTTGCCCCAGAATACTCTACAGGAACAGGGCACCCTTGGCTCACACCTGTAACCCTAGCCATTTGGAAGGCTGAGATCAGATGACTACAATTTGAGGCCAGCCTGAGCAGTTTTTGAGAGACCCCCCATCTTCAAAATAACCAGAGCAAAATGGACTAGAGGTGTGGCTCATGCTTTGCAAGTGTGAAGCTCTGACTTCAAACTCCAGTCAAACACACAAACACACCCAAGAATATTTCACAGAAGTACTGACCATTTGTGTGTTCCCTAGCCCCAATACAAGGAACCCAGGTTAAAAACCCACAAATCCATGGATAGCTATATCCAAATACACTGCATGCCTTCAGAGAGATTCTTAGGACTTGGGGAAGGGAAAATTAATTCTTTAATTCCAGGAAGATGGGGTCGTTTTATAGGTGAACTTCCACTAACTGTAAACTGGCTATTTTTAGTGTTTTGTGGTAGTATTCTCTCTAAATTGTTATTTTAAAACCATGTACTCCTTGATATTCTGCATCAAATGTTTAAATTGTTGCAAAGGTTGTATTTTCAAGCATTTGTAAATCCATATACTTAAAACTAAAATGGTTATGGGTGGGAGTGTAGCCCAGTGGTAGAATCTCATGCTTGCCTAGCATGTATGAGATCAGGGTTCGATCCCCAACACCAAAAAAGAAAAAAGACAAGAAAAGGGCACATTACTCTTTTAAATGTATTCAGTTGAATTAAATGTCTAGTAATTTGATGCTTTCAATTATCCATTAAAAAAGACATGATCAGATTCTTCCAAGAGTCAGAAAATTTGCATCATTCTTTTTTTTTTTCTTGGACGCAAATTTCCTCTCCACATTCTACCATAAGATTTCACTATAATGTGGGTATGTGTGTGTGGATACACACACATATACACATATAAATGTATTCATATATGTGTATATGTATGTATATTTTTGACAGTACTGAGGATTAAAAACTTTACCACTTGAGCCATACCCCTAGTACATTTTGCTTTTGCTTTTCAGATAGGGTCTCATACTTTTGCCCAGGCTGGCCTTAGACTTCCAACCTCCACCTCACAGTAGCTGGGATCATAGGCATGTACCACCATGCCCACTTGTTTTTGAGATAAGATCTCATTGACTTTTACCTGGGTTGGCCTTGAACGTGGTTCTTCTATCTCTACCTCCCAAATAATGTATATTTTATGTGAAAAGGTTTATTGATGATGGTATTTGTTTTTCAGCAGGGTCTTGATATATAGCCGAGGCTGGCCTTGAATTCACAATCCTCCATTTTAGCCTTCTAAGTGCTAGGTTACAGATGTGTGTCACCATGTTCAAATATTATTTTACTTTCTATGACCCCAGAAGACTAAATATTAAAAATTTCCATCAATACAACTATTGTTAGTTTGCAATTGATCAAAACAATGTAAATATATTACAATTTTTTAAAGTCCTCCAATAATTTAAGCAGTTTTATTAAGGCAGAACTGATACAAAGTGAGGTACATAAATTGTTTAAAATGTTCAATTTGATATAAGTATGCAATTATGAAACCAGCCTTGCTAAGTTTGACTAATAACAAACAGAAAAAGTAACATTTTGTTGGAAATGCCTGTCTTCCGGAGACTAGTGGGACAATTTTTCCTCTACAATTGGAACACTTAAGCCTGGATGAATATTGCTTGTGCTAGACTAGGATAGATTTTAGCAATACTTTTCTTCCTTTCTCTTTTTTTTTTTTTTTTTTGTGGTGGCACTGGGGTTCAAACTCAGGGCCTCAAGATTGCTAGGCGGGTGCTCTAACACTTGAGACACTCCACCACCCCTTTTTTTTGCGACCTTTTTTTTTTTTTCAAGATTACCTGGGTCTGACTTTGAACTGTGATTCTCATGATCTCTGCCTCCTGAGTGGCTAGGATTACAGGTATGAGCCACAGGCACCTGGCTTTTTTTTCCCATTTTTTATAGATATTAAGAAGTGAAGGGGGGTGGGGGGGTAGGGGGGGGTGGGGGAGGGGGGAGAAATGACCCAAACATTGTATGCACATATGAATAAAAAATTTAAAAAAAAAAAGAAGTGATATGCTAGAGTCAGCTTGTACTGGCTAATTCATGAGAGCTAATTTTTAGGAATTTTGTGAGCTAGCTGTTAAACATAACTATTACTAAAAATGAAACTATATGGATTGACAATTAAATAACTCATATTAAAAAACAAAGAAGGGCTGGGGTTATAGCTTAGTAGTAGTGTTTGCTTAGCATATATACCCTGGGTCCAATCCCTAGCACCACATAAACAAACACATGCAAAGAAAGTAAGTATTCAAAACTCATTACTTCCTAATTCTCTCACTACACCTTATTATCTACATGCTTAAGATTATTTGTACCTATTGTATTTGTGTAGTAGAAACACTACAGATCCCTTCCCAACTCTGTTCAGTACATGAAATTGCAATCAGCCATGGTGGGAGTATTTATGCCACAGAAGTCGGCAGTGGCATTAATTTGCACCCACACCTTTCCCAGTCTATTCTCAAACATTTCCTAGCCAGGTGTGGTGGTGTGCACCTGTCATCCCAGCACTTGGAAGCTGAGGCAGAAGTGTCTCATGTTTAAAGCCAGCCTGGGTTACATTGTGACATGCTGACAGCTAACTAAAATCACATAGTGACCTATCATCAACAATTATTTCTAATGACCTGTCTACTGACGAGATTGGGCCCTCCAGTTCTGTGGAAAGTGAAGATAGAAAACCATGTGACTTGCAAAAGAATCTCTTATTCTGGGATGATTCATTCATTTTCTTAGTTCCCAAAATTTAGGGAATCATAGTAGAGATAGCTAAAAATAAGTGTTCACCATTAAGTTTGTGGGGAAAATATAGTCAGCGTTTGAAACTTGTTTTACTCTTGAGATTCTGCAGCAAGAGGTTTCCAATATTAGATAATAATCAAAGTCTAGAAGCAGGGAGGTCAAAGAGCCAGACGTGATGTCCAGGGCCTGTAATCCCAGCTCCTCCTGGAGCTGAGGTGGGAAGATTGAAAGTTGGAGGCCAGTCTAGGCAATTTAGCAAAAACCCCAGCTCAAAGTGCAGGGGTGGAGTGGGGTAGCAGGGGAGAGAGGATGAAGAGAAGGAAAGTTATTTTCATCTGGCAAGTACATGAATTCATAATAAGCCAAAGTGCCCTAGTTCTACAGCCATTATCTGTATGTCAGGAACCATGGCTAGAAAGCTTTCTTTAGCACTTTGATCATCATAGGATGTACTCCTTGAGCAATTCCAAAAGTACCTGTGCTTCCCGTCCAGAGAATTTTACCACCCTTTTTACCCCCTCCACAATGTGCCCGCTGGATAGGAGCATGAAAAGTAAGGTAGGGGGACAAAAGTTTTCTTTTACACAGCGTGGAAGCTGACTTGAGAGTGGAGATTCACTAGCAGATTCATTTTCAGAGAGGTCAGACTTTTTCTTGGAAGTCCCTAACCTGAAAAAAAATGAATTCCTAAATACAGAGGTCAGTCACCCTGAGACCAAAGTCTGCTCTGGTCGCCTATTTTTGTTCAGCCCACTGCTAAAGATGATTTTTACATCTTTAGATGGCTGGGAGGGAAAAGTCAAAAGAATAATATTTCGTGGCATGTGAAAATCATGTAAAATTAAAGTGTCCACAAATCCTTTAAGTCCTTGTGGCTTTTTTTTTTTTTTGGTACTGGAGTTTGAACTCAGAGCCTTCACCTTGAGCGACTCCACCAGCCCTTGTTTGTGATGGGTTTTTCAAGATAGGGTCTAGTGAACTGTTTTCCCGGGCTGGCTTTGAACCGCGATCCTACTGATCTCTGCCTCCTGAGTAGTTAGGATTACAGATGTGAGCCACCAGCGCCCGGCCTTATAGCTGCTTTTGAGCTATGACACTAGAGTCTGAAAAGTTCCGACAGAGATCACAAGGCCTGAATCATGAACTTTCTTCCAAAAAGTTTGCTGATCTGTCTTAAAACTACCCAAGTTCACTTCCTATTTGCAAATCCGGTTTGCAAGCTGGTCTGTACGGAAGATCTTGGGCAAGTCCTTCCCTTTTCTGGACCTCAGTTTCCCCAACTTTAAAATGAAGTTAGACACAGTGATCTCTGGGGACCTGCCTCGCAGCAGATCTAATAAATAAAGCAGGTTGGAGCTCGGGGGAAGGTAGGACTAAGGGTCGACCCGGAGCTGACCCGCGCACGCCCTGGGCAGGTCCCCCGGGGTTTCCAGCTCCGCGGGCGGGCGAAGGGCCCCTTAGGCCCAGCTTTCCCAGGGGAATTCCGGGCGGGGTACGGCAGCGCGCGCGGCGGGGGCGGGCGGGGGCGGGGCCGCCGCCTATAAGACGGACCGCGCGGCAGCCCGGGGCCACTCGCTGCTGCCCGCGCTCGCTGTCCGCTCGGTACCATGGCGCCCGTCCGCCTGCTCACGCCGCTGCTGCTGCTGCTGCTCTTCGTAGGCGTCCCCGCCGCCACCGCCGAGTCGGTAGGTGTCTTGCGGGGGCGGGCCGGTGCCTCCTTTGTTCCCGAGACCCTGGGATTAGGGCGGGGTGGGTGCTCACGGGGACTACGCCGTCCCCAACTGGACGCCGAGGCTGGGGAAACTTTGTTGGAAACTTCGCTCCAGGGTCGCAAGGGAGCTCCCGGGGTGGCTGCTCTGCGCGCCGTGCGCTCCCAGCCTGTTGCTGTGCCCGCCTGCCCTGGCCTTAGCCCTGCAGCGGGCTGGGACGTGACTAAGCCGGTGTCAACTCTTCTCCTCCCACACCCTCGCCCTTTAGCTGTGATCCTGGGGCCGGCTCCGAGCGCGGAATCCCCCGCCTACTCCTCTGGGCGCCGGATGCAAGCAGCTCCAAAGTCTGAGATGGCCCGATGAGCCGGGCAGCGTGGACTCCAAAGGAGGAGGGGTTTAGGATTTTGCAGGGCCCTGTTTCACACACCCGGAGTGGAGAACCGAGCCCTGACCACAGCTCTGGCCACAGCTCTGCCGCTGACTTGAGAGGGGGCAAGGCCCTGTCTCCCTAAGTCTCACCTTCCCCATCTGAATGCTATGGGGGAATGGGACAAGAGGTGTCTAATGCTTCTTTAGGGTCCCAAGAAAGTTGGGACTCCGGTTTAGGCTCAGCACTTGACCAGAAGTTGAGCCTCAGCTTTCTACAAGAAGTGTTCGTTTTTGTTGAAACGCTCTCGGGGGAAATTGAAGCACCCACCCACCCGGAGTGGGGTGAAGGAGGCTGGAGGAGAGAAGGTCTTGTCTTTTCCCTGTTCACTGGTCTCTACCAGTTTACACGGCCCCGGGCCACCTGAAGCCCACCCGGCAGCTGACCGGGAGGAATGAGACAACCTTATCTGGGAAGCTGGGGGCATGGGAAATGCTGAGAGAGTTGATTTGTCCCCAAGAGCTTGGGCTTGGTGCTCTTTGGCCTCAGTCTTTAGGGGGTGAGGGTTGAGTCCCTAGATTTTAAACACTGATATTCATTCCTTCCAGAGCCCTGGATCTCCTTTCCCTTTGCACTTACTTAGGGGAAAGTTGATTCTGGCTGGCAGAAGGAATGAGTGAGACCCAGAGCAATACTGCTCGCACAATTTCAGGCCTGCAGTGAAAACTGCAAATATTTAGTGCTTCTGGTGTGTCTGGTTCTGTTCTAATAGCTTTCTTTTCTTTTTTTCCTTTTCTTGGCGGCACTGATGCCTCACACTTCCTAGGCAGGTGTTCTACCAATGGAGCCCCTCTACCACCCCTCTAATAGCTTTCTAATGGCTCTACGACTTGCTTAATTCCAACAACCCCACTGTTTACTGTTCTTAAGCTGGTCCTGAGGCTAGAGAGGTTAACTAACTTGCCCAAGGTCACACAGCTAATAACAGGCTGAGTCAGATTCAAATTAGGCAGCCAGGATTCCAAAGGCCTGCTTTTTTCTTATCTTCTAGTCTGAGTAGCTGCTGTTGGGTCCCATCCTCAGGTAACTAGATTCCGTTGAGATTTTGGGTTGGGAAGCCTCAGGAATTCTGAGTGGAGGGAAACAGAATTCCAGAGTGAGGTGATGACTACCTCCTAAAGCAAGGGGGAAAGGTTAGTGGCTGAACAGGACTAGAACGCCTTCTGCCTCCCACCTTCTGCCTCCTGGCGCAGTTCTCTGAATGAGGTGTGGAAGGGTGTTTTGGAGATGAGCCCTTGGGGAGGTTCCTGAAGGAACACTGCCTACACAGCCTGGGGAAAAAGAGGAAAGGACTCAGGAGGTAATGAGGTTCTTACGTGCCAGCCTCACCTCGGGGGCTGCTGAGCCTGCAGGTGCTTCAGTGGGGAAGAGCAGGCAGCTGTGTCCAGGGGGCAGTCAGAAGGATGTGGTTTGGGAGAGGGGGCTCTGTCAGTCCCAGGTAGGGTAGCTGGCCTATCAGCTGGGGGAGAAGTCAGTGCTGAGCAGCTGCTTCCTGAGAGACAAGTCAGTCTTTCACCCTGACCTCAGCTTTCCTTTCTGGTTAATGTCACAGACATCTTGTCTCTAATTGGGCCACAAGGATTCTCCTTTTGATCCACCTCCAGATTGTGGTCAGAAAAATCAGACCAAGATACATTTGCCTTAGACTGGAGAAATGGTTTGATCTGCCCTTTTCTTGCGATGACAGGAAAACGAGGCTGAGGAATAACATCACACCTATTGTGACTTATCGAGTGCTTTCCATGTGTCAGGCCTGGTTCATTTTAATCTTCACAAAAATCTTAGCGTGTGGTGATTATATTATGTCCACGTTCCAGATGAGGGATATCAACAAAGAGATGAAAATGGTACCACCTTGGTACCATTTAAATCTGATGGTTTAGAGAACATCTAAACCATCAGATTCTCTGACTAGTAGTCCTTCTCTCCAATAGTGTGATTAGGGTTCCTCCCTAAATTTTAGGTTTAGTGCAAATCTGCCCTCCCTTTGGATGTTGCACACCCCCCACCCCCCATTTTGCTGCCACAGGTTTTGGGAAGAGAACCCAATCTGAGCACCCAGCTGTCCTCTCTTCTGGCGGGTTTGCCATCCTAAACCAGTTCTTCCTGTCCAGCTGGGAGCATTCCCCTGATCTGCCTTCCTGCCACTCCCTCCCTGGCCAATTAAAGGCAACCTTGTTTTGGGAGTGGGGGGTGGGCGAAGGTGCTGCTGCCCAGGGTACAGCCCACTGACTTGGCACCAGGCCCAGACAGTTCTGGGGAAGTACCTCCCACCCACCAGGTGTACCTCAACTGAAAGACATTTCTGGTCAGCCTGAGAATTCTCTCCTTGATTACACAGAAGTGGGGGTGAGGCGGAAGCCTAGGGGGTTCTAGGACCCTTGAGTGGCTAATGAAAACTCTTGGGACTTCTTGGAAGCCCAGGTTGTTATCAAACACTCTGGAAAGTATTTGGGCTGTGCTTGGAGAGCTCCACGAGGTCACGAGGACGCTGTCTGGGGGGTCCCCTAGCTGTAAAACGAAGGGTCTGAGCTAGATGGTGTTAAGACCCCTTCCCAGTTTATACTAGATTAATCACTAAGTACCAGCTATTGAGAAGGGACTATAGAAGCCATGAAGACATCTAAGCATTCCTTGCAGGGAATTAATATGATCCACCAAATTCTGACAGGGTAGGGGAGGCACCCTCAGCCAGGGCAGGAACTCTGCTTCATTTGTCTTAGTGAAGCACCTGTCCCATAGTCAGTACTCAGGAAATGTCTGCATGAATGACTAACTTCACGCATGTGACTTCATTCTAAAAAGTGCATTGAGGTTATTTATTAGTATGAATTTATCCCGTGATAGTTCAGGTGAGTATTTTTATCTCCATTTTTCAGGAGACTAATATTCAGAGAAATGTGGTAGCTTGCCAAGGCCAGAACCAGGTCTGACTGACAGTGCAAGGTGTCTGGTTTGACTGTCCTCAGAGAACATTCCAGATGAGGAGATTTGCTGGGCTTGATGTTAGATACCTTGGGTCCTACATCTGCATTGCTGAGTGACCTTGAGCAAACATGTCCTGTGTCTAGGTCTCAGTGTGTCCAAGTTTAAAGTGTGGAGCCTGGATCATTGCCAGCCAAAGGGCCTTCTTGCTCTGAGGGCCCAATGGGAAAGGGAATGACGGTTTTCTTGGCCTCCTTGGTAAAGAGTCTAAACAAGTCCCTGTCTTACAAGAGAAGTGGGGTGGACATTCAGCTCCAGCCACTCCCAGCGCCTAGAAACAGAAGGCTTTCCCAAGGACTTGGAGTACTGAGGCAGCCTGAATGAGGAGCTGGGGGAGCCAGGCTGGGCTTCCAGCCCCAGCTCCCTGTAGGGAGGAATTGGCTCCTAGCTGTCCTTTAGTCTCTGGACTAAATGGGTGGGTTTGATTTCCAAATGAAGCCTTAAAATTAGGGAAAGGAGACCCGATAGGGCTCTGTGAGTCATGTAGGTTAGTGTAGCCTGCCTGAGTCACCACTGCCTTTCAACCTCTTGGCTACTAGGATGGGTCTGTAGTGGGGATGTTGGGGTGAGTCACCACTGCCTTTCAACCTCTTGGCTATTAGGATGGGTCTGTAGTGGGGATGTTGGGGTGAGCATGAGACTGTTACCTTGTTCTTTAGGAGGCAGCACCTTAGTAGTCCAGGACCTGAAGGGAACATACAAGAAGTACTTGTACTAGGCCCAGAACTTTCTCAGCTCTTTTTCTGTGTTTGGACTTTGACATTTGAACAGAGTTCAGCCGTTCCTCAAAATCAGTCTTTAGATGTTTGCAGAGAAAGTAGTCCAATTTTTTTTTCCTTCCTTAAAGCAAAACTGAGTCTTCCACTGGTAAGAGTAAAACTGGTGTAGCTCAAGATTTGATTTGCCTTAGGATTATCTGACATTTCTGAGGCCTTCTTCTTGCTCCTGGGGCTGCCTGGAGTATTGAAACATTGGTTAGTGCTAGCCAGATCTGACTCCAGTATAACTTTGGACATGCTACTCAATTTCTCAGAGCCCAGCTTTATGGTCTGTTAAGAAGATTGTAATGCTGAGCTGGGTTTGTAGCTCAGTGGTACAATGCTTGCCTAGCTTTCGAGAGGCCCTGGGTTCGATTTCCAGTGAGACACACAAACACACACACACACACACACAACGCAAAGGTTGTGATGCCTTTGAGAGGAGACTTAAACATGACAAGGCTGCAGATAAAGGCACCCAGCATAGTGCAAGTAGAGTGGAAGAATTCTTTGGTAACTGTTTCCTTCCTTGCCCATCTTTCCTCCCCCACATCTATCCCCACAGTTGCTAGGTGGGAAGGGAGAAATCCAGGGTGGGGCTGATAGAGCCCAAATTTTCTATTTGTTTATCTTAGAAGTGGGCTGTTTGCTAATTATCAGATGGGTTTATATTTAAACAAGAACCAGTTCCTGGCAGCCCCACCTCTCCTGCCAGGATCTGCAGGAGCCCCAGCAGCTTGCAGTCTACAGAGAGATGGGGCAGGGGGTTTGCAAAGGTACCAGACCACTCAGGACACTGCTCAGGA